GGATTCCCTTTTTCTATATTGCCAGAAAGTTAGATGTCGAATGGATAAACTTACAAAAGAACTCGAACGAGAGGTTTATTATTTTCTCACACCCATCTTTGACTAGCTACATGTGATGTGATGTAAAAGTTAGATAGAAGAAAAAATTATAAAACAGTAGATCTGTAAAAAAAAGTTTTATATGTATTTTCCTATATTAACATATAGTTCTTTCACATATAGTTACATATAGAAAATCGAAACTGAATTCTACCATTAGAAGAAAAGAAAGAAAAGGATATCAAAGAAAAAGGAAAAAAAATGCTAAACCGGCATTGGAACGATTTTCGCTTCCTGTATATAACACAAAGCGCCTTAGCTTCTTAGAATTCTTCTCCCCTTCTCCCTCTCTGCCGGTTGATTCTCTCTCTCCATCAAATCCGGTGGTGGTGGAGGTGGTGGTGGTATTGATGGTAGCGCGAGTGGTAGTGGTAGTGGTAGCGGCAACGGAGATGGAAATATAGAGTGATGCAAATTTGTTGTTGGCCAGCTTTATATATATTTGAGTCCTTAGTCTAAGCTTCTTTATGTGTAATATACTATAGAAACAGTTTCATATCAAATTCCTAATATTTTCCGTTACAATGATGACTCGTTTCTCGTTTTGATACAGATCAATACATACTTTTATCACAATATCTATCAACATTAACGTATCAACGTTAACATTACTAAGTACTGTACTAACGCATCATAAACCTTCAACAAAAACAAAAAATTAACACATTTACTTTATAATCGTGGTTATGTAATAACTATATTTGATATATATAATAAACTAATAATGTTATGGTACTCTATTTATACATCACACATGCTACACTTTATTGTATGTATTACATTATCGGATTAATAAAACGATAGAACATTTTGACAAATAGACGATTCAAAGAACATCATATATAAACTATAAAGAGACATTGAATTACAGCTTAATCATTTAGTGTTAGGCTGTTAGCAATATCTAACGCCGTATACTGCAAATTATATTTAAACCCGTGGCCATTGAGGACTCACTACCTACAATAAACAAAGAATCAATTAAAAATCTCTTCTTCTTTTTTTTTTCCCTAAAATTTCAACGTTTTACAATTCGTTGTTACTAGCAAAACACATGATAGAAGCGAGAAATTCAATATGAGATAGAAAGTTAAAAAAAAAAAATAATCGAAATTTTTTTGATACGTCATTTATAATTAATCTATAAATTTCTCATACAAATTTTGAATGTCTTTCGAAATGTTATGTTTTTGTTAATAAGAAATACTATATATATCAAATAGTTTATCTTTCCAATAGTAACGCAAAATATTGTGTGATACTTGTCTTAAGTAAATTATAAATAAAATTAAAACGTTTTTATTTATAATTTCTATTTTTTCACATTAAGTAAGGGGTTTAAGTCATTTTTCATATTCAAATTGTAGTATTATTTGGAAAAAATAAACTATGATACTAGTATGTTTGGAAGACAAAAAAAAACTTAAAAGTGTGAAATTTTAGAGATTTAATTTTTCTAAGTCATTCAGTGGTTTAGATTAACAATCTGTTTAGATAAAAAGAAATAGAATAACAATTTAATTTTTTCAAAACACAAACAATGAGACTACTGACCTCGAGAGTGCTAAAGACAAGTCGCATTCGGCTAGCCACAACCGATGGCTCCTCCGCTTGTCCCATCACTGCCATCTGCTCCAACTGAAGAGTCTTCACCGGCAGCCTACACTCACCGATACTTCAGTAATGGCATTTTCGTAAATATACATACATTTTCACATTTTCACATTTTTCACAAACATTTTATTTTTCATCTTATTAAGATGGATAAAAATAACAAAACCAAACCAAATCCGAATACATTTGATCTTACCATGCCATTCCCCTAATATAGTATGCATTGGCTATAACCGCGCAAAAGCCTCTCCATTTACTTAGAATTTCATCGGAAACCGAAGGAGTCGATGACCATCTCACTACCGTTGGTTGCGGCGTACACAATATTGTTATGAATACAATGCTAAGCCACAATATGCATTCATCTACCTACAAAATCAAAACCACCAGCTTAAACTGACAAGGCAAAGTTAAGATCCGAATTATAAGACTTAGAGCATATCATCATTACCGATGTTAGCTAACCTCGGACAGCAAAATCTTGGATTTAGTCTGTGTGCTTCCGTGGTAACTCTCCACTCGTTCGATCTCTAAACCTGATTCTTGCATTGCCATAAGTTCTTTTCTTAAATCTTCTTCTGTGCAACCGAGTGCGTATGCGTTGACACCAGCGGAAATGAATTCCTTAAGACACACGAAAACATGTAAAGATCGAGAAGAGAGCAAATTCAGTAAAGAAAGAAAAGAAAAGAGCTTTTACTTTTAAGGTTTCGCCTTGACCACGTTCAATCACGGTCCTGTAACGTCTTAAGAGACTTATAGCTATGTTACGTGATGAACGGTACTCATCATCTGGTGAAACCGTGTTGTTGCGTGAGCGACAAATCTTGATGAAAACAACAAAAAAAAAATCAAGAAAATTGCTTAGAAGCTGTGTACATATATGGATGCAAAGCTTGTATAGAAGAAACTGAAACTTCAAAAGATCACTAACTATGAATCTCCTCTGATGATGAATTTGGCCTTGTGGATAAAAATATAAATGATGACACTTTACATTGCTCCGATGAACTTTTGCTCCCTTAGAGACAGAACAACTGCTAATCAGAGGACTAAAAAGCGCGGTTTTGTATCTGCGCAAGGCGGCATTGCAGCGAAAAGTAGTTTGGGATTTGTTGATAGTTCCCGAAGGATACGCAGCTAACATTTTGAACCATATCAATGAAGCAATGCCCTAATCTGTCACACACACACAAAAAAAAAAGAAAAAAAAAACAGAGAAATGAAACAAGTCTATTAAAGCAAAAGAGAGAGAAGGTTCTTCTTGAAGAACACAACTACTTAAATAATGTTCTAAAAAACATACTCCATATTTTAGCTTTCTATTGCATCTCAGTACAGTATTAGAGATTTCTACAAGGCAAAAAAAGGAAAAAAAAAACTCAAATGATTTAGAGATTAGCTTAATTTGCGATCATGGAATTTGTACGATCTAAGAAAAGAAACCAAAAGCTCTGTTCTTTGTAAAAGTCTCAAGAATCTCCTAAGCACTATCCAGAAGTACAGGACAACGAATTCACTAGATAATTACGATCATTTAAATTTATCTGAGTTTAAAAGGCTTACCCTTTTGAGAAACCCACATTCAGATACACCAAAACATATGCGAATTTAAGCTTCGACAAAGAATTGAATGAAAAGCAGAAACTATAGATTACACGCCTGTATATGTAAGAGGCGAATTTCAAGCCACCAATAGTTTGAATGGCTGCCAAAATTTTGAGTTTATCTGGGCTTATATTTTATGGTTTTTTGCACAAAACTGAGAGAAATGAAGAAGAATCATGGTCCTAAACGGCGTCGTTGAGCATATGGGAAGAGTCACCTTCTGATTGACAAAGCGGCTTCTCTTTTAGCTTTTCTATAGAAGAAACCTACGAGTCCAGAAGCAAGATTCTCTTGAAGTGAAGGCTTTTAGGGAATTTCTCCACAAAGACATAGAATTTTAGTTCTTGATCATCACCACACCTTTTCCTTCTCTGTTCTCCAGAGGTAGAAAATAACTTTTTAGCCTCCACATGCTTCTTCTCGCAGCTCTACTAGATTTGGACATCATTGATATCGCCAAATGCTGTTTAAGTGGATAAAAAAAATCATCTCTGAAGAAATTGACATCTTAACCAATTTAACACACAAGAGCTTCAGTGAAAAGAACCATCAAGAATACCTTTTATCGGTTTCTATTTGATCTTCACCGTACCAGCTCTCAGTTCTGATCCCAGTCATCTAGAGTTCAGTCAACTTTATGGTTTGTGAACACAAGAGAGTTGCTTTCTACGTTGGGGAGCCAACCCAGCTCGATGCTCTTTCTTTCTTGATTCTTTTACTCTCCATCTTCATTCTCACTTGAGAAGCTTCTTCCCACAATCCCATGTCTGCGAACATGTTGTACAGCAGTACATAAGGTGTCGAGCTCTCTGGTTCGAGTCTCGACAATGCTTCAGCTGCAACATGTGCGAGCCTTACATTGCTATAAATCCTACAAGCATCCAATAATGCACCCCATACCGTCCTGTCTGGCTCAAACGGCATACTCCTTATAACATCCATGGCCTCCTCAAACAGCCCTTGTCGACTCACTACATCGACCAGGGAAGAATAATGTTCCATCTGCGGCTCGATCTTGTACTCACTCACCATGGACATAAACTGTGCTTTAGCCTCATCAACAAGTCCAGCGTGAGCACAAGCGTTCAGAACCGAGACGAATGTGATGTGAGAAGGACGTATCCCGTTGCTTTTCATTGACCAGAACATATTCAAAGCCTCTGAGGCATTACCATGAAAAGCATACCCTCCTATCATTGCATTCCATGTGATTACTTCTCTTTTGAGTTTCATTTCATCGAAGATCCTCCTCGACTCCATTATATCGCCACATCTAGAATACATAGTGATAAGCGCATTGTGCACTGGAACATCGGGGATCACAGTCTTGAGGACGATTTGGTGCATCTGCATTCCTAACCTCAGATTCACAAGCCCAGTTGATACGCTGAGAAGAGAAGTTAGAGTATGAGGGTCAGGCTTCTCTCCTTCGATGTTCATCCGGATAAACACATCAACAGCTTCTTTGTAGTCCTTGTTCTTCTCGTAAGCTGCTATGATCGAGTTCCACGAGACTATATTTTTCTCAGGCATTCTTTCAAAGTAGTCACGAGCGAGCTCTACATTGCCAACGTTAGCAAAACCAGAGACCATCGTGTTCCACGAGTGTGTATCGCGGTTTGGCATTTTCGAAAACAGATCAAAAGCCTCTTCCATGTTAGAAACGTGCACGTATCCATCGATCATGGTGTTCCAAGATATCGTATCGCGGTGTTTCATCTGATCAAATAGCGACCGCGCAGAGACCACATCACCTACTTTCAAGTAGGCTTTGATCATGGAGTTCCAAGACACGAAATTTCTACGGAATCTCTCTCTAAAGTCTCCACCTTGATCATCACAGAGATCAGGAATCTGATCAAATAGACGTCGAGCTGCTTCTACTTGTCCTCTCTGTCCATATCCTACAATCAAAGTGTTATAAGCATACACCAAATCTTCCTTCCCTGAATCGAAACTCCCGTATTGACCCAAAACCCACGCAGCTTCTTCAAGTTTCTCGTTTTTAATAAGACCCGAGACAAGCGCACATAGAGAAGACGAATCCTTCTCGGGCATTCTCCGAAACAGCTCAATCGCGCGATTCGCTTCACCGTTCTGGCAAAAACCAGTGATCATGGCGCTACACGACACAGAATTTCTCTCAGGCATCTTCTCAAATAGCAACAGAGCTTCATCTATCCTCCGATTCCTCGCATAACCACTTATCATAGTGTTCCAAGTAAAAGAGTCTCGTGAAGGCATTTCATCGAACAACTTCCTTGCTTCCTCAAGAAACTTAACCCCGCCACATGAAACGTAACCCGAAATCATCGTGTTAAACGTCACAACGTCTCTCTCGGGCATTTCGTCGAACAGCTTCCGCGCCTGAGTCATTTCCCTCCTCTTCACGTACCCGCTTATCATCGTGTTCCATGTCACGGTGTTCTTTGCCCCCAGTTTTCCGAAAATCTCTCTAGCTTCGGCGATATAACCCGATCTTATCATCTGGTTTAACTCCTTGTTCGTCGCTCGAAAACCCAAGCTTGACGAAAACGAAGAAGAGATAGAGTTTGACCATAAACATTTGAGACATGATGGTCGATACGCCTTACTGAAAATCAACAAGAAAACGCGTGATCGGCTCATCGTCGTCGACGGCGAAGAGCTCGAATTGCAGCGATCAAAAAACTCAAAAGCCTCTGAAGCTTCGAAATGGAGATGGTCGAATCGGATTTCACAGGATGTATTGAAATGGTCCGGTTTACAGTGTTTGAGCCGGGAATATTTCGGTTAAAGTAGAGAATTTCCGGTTTATGAAGTTTGAACCGGGGAACAATATCGGTTTGGAAATGATTCGTGACAAGTTCTAACGGTCGGGATCTGAGTCCTTAAAACGCCGGTGGACGGAGAAGTCTTGTAATTTACGGAAATAATTCTGACCCAGAAGCTTTTGATTCACGGATTGAGAAACCCTAGATTCGCATTCTCATCTCCAATCAATTTTGGTCGCATCAACCACAATGCATCAATTTCGGAAGACGCTGTGGTAATCGCGTTTTCTTTCAAAAACGCCGATTAGGAAGCTTTTGATCGTGGGGCTAGATCGAGTGAGGCGTGGACGTGGACCGATGGTGGTTAAAACCGGTTTTGTGTGGTTTTGGTTTCAAGCGTGTATGAAGCGTTGGATCGATGAATGTGACAGATGAAATTGGGTTTTGGGTTTTGAATCGATTTTGGAAACTTTGTCTTCTGATGTGTATTGGTGTTTTCTTGCAAAAGGTGTTTCCTTTTCTTGTCAATTCATAAGAAGGAAGAGCATGGAAGCTATTAAGAAGCAAGCACTGGGTTTTGAAAGTGCAAAGGCTAGAGCTTTATATGAAATTAGAAAGCTGGAAGCTGAGAAGACCCTATTGCAAAAGAGAAAAAGGAGTTAAGAATCTGAAGTTGAAACAATGTTTAAACAAGTTCGGACTGAGTAATCCTCTGCAGAAGCAATCCGAAGTGTTCCTTATTGAGTTTTGTCTATGCAAATTGTATAGCTGGTACATTTCCAAATAGAAAACATAGCTAGTTCTTATTTCTATACCATATATGTAGCTAATAGAGACTAGATGTGGTTTACAAACTCGCATTGAATGAAAGATTGGCTTTTTATTTGTCTTTTGGAGCAGTAGCAGACCAGAGGACAGGATCGCGTCTGAGTAGTCTTTTGCTGTTTGCTACTGTCAGTAACATCACACCAAGAAATATCAAAACTGATATGGAAGAGAAGATGAACATCAAAGCAGAAGCGACCTGGTTATTCACCTCTTGCGCATACTGAACCGAGTCTAGAGCAAGAAAGGTGAGTGGGAACGAGTAAGCCCACCATGCCACATTGAATCTTTTTATCGACTTCTTCAAAAGAGTTGGCCTACAAACCTGAAAAATGTTAGACAACAACAACAAAAAAGAAAAGGAGTCAAATGTCTAGTCATACGGTATTCTGCTTTGGTTTTTTGTTTCTTGAAGCTTACCAGTGAGGTGAAGATGAAGAGAGAAAGGAAGAACAACATCTTCGCTATAGTATCAAAGCTTCCGCAAATAGCGTTCCAAGCTAGACTTGCAGTGGCTGGTGCAGCAAAGAACAAGAAGAAAACCGGCCTTAGCGTGGTTGGGAAGTTGTTTCCACCTGGTAGGCGTTGATAGAGCGTAACAAAGATAACCAAATAGTGAACCATCCCGAGTGTGAACAAGCCTAGAGCACACTCCTTCCAACCCATCTCCGCTGCTCCTCGTGCAGCCACTAGGTTTGCGATTACTGATACTTGGCTTGCCGGGTTTGCCATCACCGACAAGAACCTCTTCTCTGTAGTGAACCACTGGCCATAGAGCTTTAAGTCTAGGGTCAAAACTGGAACAGCAAACACCCAAAATAGTGTCTGATACATAACGCTGTGTGGTTTCATCATAGGAGCTGATTGAAGCAAGAGAAGGCTTGAGATGGATGGAGCGTAAAGATAGTTCACTCCTATGTAGTGCAGAAACTCCTCCTTTACCAACTCAGAGAAGTAAACACACTTGAAGGCATAGAGGAAACAGAGCGACACTTGTGTTGCAAGTGCTAGATACCACAGGAGATAAAACGCCATAGACGGGAGATTGCTATGCAAATGGACCATTATCTTCCACAACAAAGCTTGGCTACAAAGAGAAAGGCTTATTCTGAAATAGCCCGCGTGGAGACTACTCAGAACAGACTTGAGGACAATTGGTTCGGCATCAGCGAGGTTGGTATACCTCTTTTTCCTTCTCGGGTAATCAATCTTGATTTGGATTAGTTGACTAGGAGTTTTCAAGCTTTCCATCTCGATGTAATGGCTTTGGTTGGCTCTAACCTTAGGAAATAGTTCTTATATTAAGCAGAGGAATCAATAGCTAAATGGAGACTAGTTCTACAAAACAAAGCAGCCGTGAACTAAGGCAAGATATTGTTTGAATATACCTGAATATTTTGCAGCAAAATCCAAGATTGTTTAGCACTATAAATATGGTGTTCTTTACATGTATCCACACGTACACAAACCAAGATTAGTGTCTCCAAGATTCTTTATTGAATCCGTAGAACGGATTGCTTTCAAAATGTTGGAGTTGTGTCGCGTGAAATCCCCGTTGTATCTCAAGTTGACTTTTGTTCTTCCTCAAAAATAGGTAATAATGTTTCCTTACGTGAAGATTCCTTGTATATATAAAATAATTCATGTGGATCCTAACAACCCTTTTTGATTATGTCACGATAGCACACATATAAATCTAGAATTATTATTTTATTGATGCTACAATATCAATGACAGTAAGAGTTTGGCTGCAAGTGGACAACTTGACTGGTCAGATCGATAAACACACGACCTAAAACCCAGGAAAAAAACAAATGACTTATAGAACAAATCCACCATCTCACTGGCTCGCATGTCAATTCGATATTTTTTTATTGTTACTATTTAGGCTGAGATATATATATTTTTTTTGAAAAAAAATATCAATTTGAAAAGGTTATGTGTACTTATATAAGTTTCCCTCTTTTTCTTTGTTTGACTTTGATATTTGATTATTTCCAAAGTGAATCCTGACAAGAAACTATTTCGTTTTACACTGACTTATTTGCACAAATAGTCATTTTCTGACTTTCTTTAGTTTTCAGTCATTTTCATTTTTTTGTCTTATTTGGATAAAATGGCGATTTTATCACTACCTCTGATTGGTCCGTACGGATTACCGTATAGGCGTATAGACTTGACTATTCACCACAAGTTTTTTTTTCATTTTGTAAAAGTCTTATACGTATCACAAAGATAAATTAGAATATGTACTAATTGGCGCAAAATTAGTCAATTTTTTTTTATATAACTACAAGCTAAAAGAATCTGATTTTAAGTAAGTATTATAGTTAGGTACTAGGAACTTTTTTCCTAAATTTTGTACCATTCATCTGCTAATTCTAGTAGGATTTGTTTCCACTATATGATTTTTAGTCTTTGAGCAGCATATGGTTAGTAAGTGATGTTTCTAACCGGAGCTCATGCATGTGTTCGTTTGAGAACATAATCCCCTCCTAATCGAAAATCTAGTTAGAGGGTCCTAGAAATCTTAAACTTAAGAAAATCCGTAGACCATACCCATTTGGTACTTAAATTGCTTTTGTAGCCGATTTGATATACATGCACCAGTTGCATGTTCAACCATGTATATTAGATCACGGAAATGTGTTTTGTTCCCTAATACGTTATTCCACTGCTTACGTTTGATGTCGTTAAGATACAAAGATTTATCGATAATGTTTATTGTTTAAGTAAAATAATTGCTTCTGTCTTTTGCTTTATGTTCTTTGTTTATTGTTTAGCCATGTTGGCTTTGTTATCATATTGTAAACAATTCTTGTTTTTATGGACACTAGCAAATCTATATAATCTTGCTTGACAAAAAAATTGTTGTTGTCATTTGGTTTTGCCAAGTTGAAAGTCTTCATTAAAAATGATTTCTGATTTTTCATTAAAAGTTACTCCCTCCGTTTCATAATAAGTGTCGTTTTAGATTTCATTTTTTGTTTCAAAAATAGTGTAATTCTGCATTTTCAATGTAACTTTTTACTCTTATTTCCTGTTTTATCCCTCATTTAAAGATTATAATATTTGTAATTAAATGTTATAAAATATATTAATTAGGGATATATTTGTATATTTTCTTAATTTTTTAATATGTGTGAAATGTGTCAGAATGACACTTATTATGAAACGGAGGGAGTATTTGTTTTCAGTAATTGATCACTACAGCATTGTAGACTACAATTTATGGTATGGGGTTTTGTGTAGACGCTTAGATCTCCTGAATTTGAGCTCAGCAGAATACATGCTGATGAAAAACAAATTGGTTGAAGATATTTTGCCAACACGTTACTCTGATTATATCCTCTTTCGTGAGTAATTAATGTTCATGACTCTATAGATTGAAAACAAAAATTATGAACTGAGTGAAGGTGTGAATGTTTTCAAAATTGAAGAAAATTGGTGTCCGTTGTTTACGACTCTTTTTTTGGGGCATATATATTTATTTTTCTATAGTAAAGGTAATTTCATAGGCCATGAAAAGCTACAAGAACTAATACGATAAATATGGAACTGTTTTGGTGAAAACAAAAGTAGGTCTTCTCACAACTTCTTTGCATTGGGGGACAAGTTTCGGATCACACGTCTGATTTCGGTGACTAAACTTCAGCTAAGTAAAAAATGATCAGATGCATCCCTGAAAATTGTAACAAACTTCATGTTTTTAGACTAGCTTTGGTTACTAAGTCGCATTGAGCGGCGATGATTTTTGCTTGTCTTTTGGAGCAGTAGCAAAACCAAGGACAGGATCACGTCTGATCAGACAACTACTGTTTGCTGCTGTCAGTAACATCACACCAAGGAAGATCAAAACTGAGATGGATGAGAAGATAAGCATCAATCCAGAAGCAACCTGATCTTTCACCTCTTGCGCATACTGAACCGAGTCTAAAGCCAGAAAGGTGAGTGGGAACGAGTAAGCCCACCATGCCACATTGAATCTTTTCATTGACTTCTTGAAAAGAGTTGGCCTACACACCTGAAAATGTTAAAACAAAGAATGTAAGTTTCTTGTCACACGGTTTTATATTTGAATTCTTGGTACTGAATCCAAGAATAGTTATTTTCTTGGTGTGTTGTAACTTGTAAAACTTGCCAAGGAAATGAAGATGAACAGCGAAAGAAAGAACAACATCTTCGCTAGAGTATCAAAGTTTCCGCAAATAGAGTTCCAAGCCAGACTTGCCGTGGCTGGTGCGGCAAAGAACAAGAAGAAAACCGGCCTTAGCGTGGTTGGGAAGTTGTTTCCACCTGGTAGGCGTTGATAAAGCGTGACAAAGATAACCAAATAGTGAACCATCCCGAGGGAAAACAAGCATAGAGCACACTCTCTCCAACCCATCTCAGCTGCTCCTCGTGCAGCCACTAGGTTTGCGATTACTGATACTTGGCTAGCCGGGTTTGCCATGATCGACAAGAACCTCTTCTCTGTTGTGAACCACTGGCCATAAAGCTTTGTGTTGAGGGACAAGACTGGAATGCCAAACACCCAGAAAAGTGTCTGATACAAAATGCTGTCTGGTTCCATCATAGGAGCTGACTGAAGCAAGAGAAGGCATGAAATGGATGGAGCGTAAAGATAGTTCACTCCAATATAGTGCAAGAACTCTTCCTTCACCATGTCAAAGAAGAAAACACACTTCAAAGCATATAGAAAACAGAGTGAAACTTGTGTCGCAAGTGCTAGGTACCAGAGGAGATGGAACGCCATATATGGGAGGTTGCTACGCAAATGAGACATGCTTGGTGAATCAGGCGCGATCATTATCTTCCACAGCAGAGCTTGGCTGCAGAGAGAGAGGCTTATTCTGAAATAGCCTGCATGGATACTACTCAAAACAGACATCAGAACAATGGGTTTTGCATGACCGAGGTTAGTATCTCTCTCTTTGCTGCTGGATATTGAGTTATCAATTTTGATATGAACTTCTTTCACAGGAATTTCTAAGCTTTCCATCTTGGTTTATCGATGGATTAGAGAAATTAATAAATGGCTTGTTTGACTCTATGCTTTCCTAACCTTAGGATAGAGTTTTATAGGCAAATAAATCAAAGCTACTGGAGAGTAATAATGAACAAAGCTGTGAATTAGGCATAGTCAGTTAGTTAGTGTTTGACAAAGATGTTACTTAAAAAAAAAAAGAGTAATGGAATCTCATAAGGATAACAACTTTAAGTAACATTGGTTAAGTTCAATAACATGTACTATACATAATACATGTCAACATTTCTTGTGTTAAGCATCATGAATACTTTACAAATTAAGCCATTCCAGTTGATCACTTTATAAATTAATCTTATATATATCCTGCTTTACCTAACTGGTACCATTATAATCGTACCGGGTTATTAGGTTTTCTTATCACTATCTTTAAAGATAGACTGATGGCAGCGACCCACTAATTATCAAATTTATTTCAACTTTCTATTATATGTAAATAAAACTAGATAAACAATTATTTTGTAGTAAAAGATGATAAGCTTTTTCTAGTACAGATGTATTCACCTATTATCGAGGTCAAGAGCCAGTACGTAAGCTCAAGGAATAGCTCGCACGTTTTGTTAGCCATAACAGAGCATAAAAGTGGTGTTACAAAGAAGGTCCTAATAGTTTAAGAACTGTGGTTTTGGATAATTTTAATAAAAATCATGTGTATTGTATATATAAGTGCATTCTTAGCCTTCACTTTGTTTGGTATTCTGATTATTAGAATTGTCTATATTATCAAGACTGTAACTTCTTACGTAATATGTTATGTGTTATATACCACCAGATAAGTGGGCTAGTGGTTAAGTGCAGGGGTTGATCCTATGTGCTCTTAGATCGATTCCCGGTGGGAGGAATGATTTACGTCATGTCACCAGGTATTAGCAAAGGCTGGTCCCGGGTCGTGGGGGGGAGTAAGGCCCAGACCCGAACCTCCTTCTAATTAAAAAAAAAATGTTATGTGTTATACTTACGTACTATATTATGTGCTATATGTAGAGAATGAAGAAAATAAAAAAACATTTGAATTTCATTGTTAAACTAAAGGAAGTTGTTTAATTAGTCAATTTGTTTTACAAAGTTGAAGTCTGAGTTCCGACTTTCATTAGATGATTATTTTATTTTTTTGCCACCAACTTACTACGACATTATAATGTGGGGTTTGTGACTTGTGTAGATGCTTATATTAGCTGTTTTTGCTTAGGAGTTTTTTTTTGTTTGGACACCAAATTATGTTTATATATTTATCTATATATATTGGTGAATGGTGATTTAGTTTACGATAGAAAAGAATAAATGGTGGGAGACATTTGGATAAATGAGTCATGGGGCATATATGCTGAGTCTTTTACAAGCAAGTGTTGATAATAGCAATGAATAAATACATGGTCGAAGATGTTTGAATAAATGCATTGAAGGGGCAATAACATTAATAGGATGTTGAAATTCTTAACCATTGAACCTTTTCTTTGTTAGGAAAATGTTGAAACAATTGGAAGTAGTTGTGTTTCCCCCAAACACTGAAGCATCTTTCGTGATGACATTCAGTACTTGCAATTCAGTGGTTTTGATTGAATTACTGAAAATGGACATCCAAATCATATCAACTTATAAAAGAGGAGGTTATTTGACTAGCACGGAGTTAGAAACTCCACAACGAATATAAGCTTATTCAATATATGATAAAAAAAATTTTTAAAAAATTGTCTAAAATTAATCGCATCAGGTTATGAAGATGAGTGATGGTCAAGAAACATATTAGAAATATAAAAAAAATATAGAGAAATCTAAAGTGTAGGAAGTCTCGCTTAAGAACCATCCAAGATCAGAAGTTTTTGTTTGGTTTAATCCGGTTCTTGGTTGAACCACATAACTAGACTAAACAATATAACATATCATACTTATTTTAATTTGATAAAAAAATAAATCATTTTTTAATTTATAAAAAAAGATATTAGAAATCTTTTAACTTTATCAAAAAGGTAAAATATTAGAAACAATTTCATTTGGTCATAAATATAGAATACTATAAGTATTTGTCTTTTGATTTAATGGTCGGTTTGCCTTGTTTGATTAGTATATAAAACGCCCAATTGTACAGCTTTTAGCCTTTTACCAATGAATGAGGTTCTTTACTATAAGCTTCAACATATTTTTGTATACCACACAAGAAAGCTAAATACATCTGATCTAATAAGAAGATAGTAAGTGTATATCGTTTTAAAACTTTATAAGGCAGAAATGAGTAGAAACAGTAATGTCAATATCTCAAATTCTTAAAGACGAGATTGATTATAATTACTTTCAGCCTTTCAGGATTATAAAGTAGCCGAAACAACTTAGCACCGAAATTAACAACACCACAAAAACTTCAACTTAGCACCGAAATTAACAACACAAAAACTTCAACTAAGCACCGGAATAATTACAGAAGCTTAGAGAGAGAGAGTTTAACTCAACTCAACAAGTACAAAGAGGTTTCACAACACAACAAAGCTCTCACACAAACACATAAACAAAAAGACCTACGCAGCTTCTGCGAAGCCAACCTGCTCGTTGCCAAAGTCAAAAACAGTATGATATCTTCCCATAAACACATCACCCAATATCCTGCACAAAGATCAAGAATAAAAAAATCAGATGATTCTCAAATTGTAAAGGCGTTTGCGTTTTAGTTTTAACATATGTGTATGATTTTTTTTGTGCCAAAAGTCGTTTACCAGAGAGGTCCACGAGGTGGAGGGATGTCAAGTGCGGTAAAGCCGCTTATGCACTGCGCCACTGGTCCTTCCCCAATCTTAAGTACATACTGTTAACTCCCACAAACATTTATCAGTCAAGATACTCAAAATGCATACATAAATGTTCAAAATGTTACAAGATGCCTCAAATTTTGATCTCTCAAACAATACCTCTTCTGGAGCAAGATCAAAGACTTTGCCTCCAATGGTGAATGACACGGTAGGCATCGTAGAGAGTTGTGAGCAGTCAACAGCAGACTCTCCGTTTGGACTAGGCATGCGCTCGCATATCTGTGGATTTCACGGTTTTTGGGATCAGAACAAGAATATTCTCAATGCTATAATATTTCAAGAAGACAGTATCAAAACTGTCATTAGCTCTTCTTACGTCATTAATGTAGTTCACTATGCGCTCTTGAGTCATGTTCTGCTTTAGTTGGCTTTGTATCCACACAACCGCCATTTCACATGCAACACAACCAGCATCTCGAAGACCTCTAGGTGATTTGGTGTCTTCCTTGTCCACCACGGACTCAATCCCCATGCTAAACATAACACACAAACAATATATAAGAGAAGACCTTGAAAATGTGTCTATTGAAGAAAAATTCATTGGATACTTTACCTGACCCCGTGGGTGCCATCAAAAGTGCAAACACCGATTTGCGAGCAGATCTTCTTTGGTTGAGTCTGAAAGGAGTATAAAAGATTTGCATAAAGAGAATACAAATATGATTAGTCGCTAAGTTGGTTCCAATACCAAAATAAACGATATTTCTTACCTCAGCCAAAAGTAAACTCAAAATGGTCTGTCCATACTGATCAACAACAGTCTTGCACTGCTGGCTAACAACTCCAGATGCTCCAATAGCTTTGTTTATCATGGCAACCACAGTCTACGCATAAAGATAACAAACAAAAATGGCAAGTTTTAAGAGCATGAGCATATACTATGAAACCCTTTGATGATTCTTGCTTACCGTTGGCCCTGCGATTAAAGATGTTCCAGAATCTGCTATGGCAGAACAACCACTTTCACAGTATCCTGTTATAAAAAAACAGAATCATGCTTCACATTTTTCTAAAAAACAACTATATATGGAAGAAAGAAAATGAGATAAACAACTGATACACGCACCAGTAGATTTACCGGCAATGAGAACCTCACCCATGTCGAACTATTACCAAAAAATAGCTTGAATGAGACGTGATATTTACGAAACAGATCATAGCAAACCAAGACAGACAGATAAAGAAGCAACCTGCCAGTAACCCCTTTGTGTCACAGGAACATATGTATGTTCTCCCTTGAAATGTTTTGGATCAACACCACCGAATACAATTTCACCACCTTCTTCGCTTTCTATATCACGGTTAAGCCAGAATGAAAACAAAGGCTTCTTGATAAGGCCTTGATTGAGCATATTGTACCTGTAAGAAACAAAACTCTTTGTTGTCAACACATAAACAAGAGTGTGTGTAAGTAAGTAAACGAGACAAAAAGTGCACGCACGCATACCAAACAGGAGTGGCGTTTCCAACGGAGATCTCTTGGAATCCAAGACCAAGAAGACCATCAAATTTACCCACCAAAAATGTTAAACCAGGCTCACTGGTTGCCTCAATAAACTCCTGATAAGATAGATGATGACAGATAGTAAGGTCAATCAATCTGTTAATAACATATAAAGCGTTAAAAGTAATGTAGAATGGATAGTAATTGACCTGATCTTGGACAACCAAATCACCAACTGTAACAGCATCATAACTAAAGAAACCAGAGACTGATCCAGAACCGTAACGAATTGCGGCTCTTTTTCCTGGTCATACACGTAGTTTTTAGAGATTAATATTTCATCTTAAGATAAAAATGTATTCCAAGAACTCTAACAAAGCGTACCATTCTTTTTATATGTGCTTGAAAGCGAGGACCTGTACTTAGCATGAAAGAAACAGGACAGCTACATAAAAAGGAAAGAATACAACAAGTTTTTCTCTTAAATTAGTCTCAACCACACTTTAAAAAGTTTGTGAACCAAATGCTAAAAGAAGATTAAGCTCACCGAGAAATAACATTTCCCTGAAGGTACCCAAAGATTAGAGCTTCCTGTGTCGAAAATCACTGTGAACTTCTGCGGTGGAGTACCGATAGCAATCTCACCATAGTACTGAGCATCCAAGTAATTCTTCAGCGCAACGATATCAGCATCTCCGGAATCTCCAAGAAGATTGTTATTTGAACGAATCTCTTTTAGTTCTTCTTGCTTGGAACCAAAGCGTGCGGCAAGTCGATTGTTAGGATCCAACTTCAGTTTTTTCAAGCCAATTCTGAATGTTCCATCGTTTCTCTCATCAGAAGAGGCAGAACAAAACAACATGAACAACACAAAGAGTGAAATTGCAACTGTTCTCGAGTGTATGCCCATTTTTCCACCTTTTAATCAGTTGACATAAAAAAGGAAATTAGACTACAAAGATCAACAATACGAAACAGATAAAAGTTACAAGAACATGCAACTCAACTAAGAACACTGTTAATCACATTTTTCCACGTTTTCAAGACTTTCTATCTCACTAAACCAACCTTACATCAGTAAAAAACTAGACATTTTGATAAAATCTAGAATCATTCAGGCCAAAAAGCATAAAACCATATCAAAAGTGATTTCAGTGACAACCTCCACGAAATTCTATAAATCCCAAGAATATTTCTTATTTTTTCAAGAAACATAAACGATTAATAACACGAAAATGTAACAAATCGAAGGGGGAGCCAAAACAACACAACTTTTCTCTAACAAAAAAGAACGAAAAATAACAAAATATACATATTTTAAAAATGTACACCATAACCTCTGAAAACAAAACGACCCTAAAGCTCCAATCAAATCATCTCAGTTGAACAATAAAGAAAAAAAAATATACAAAACAGACATGCAAAAACACACCAGCATTCACTAAATAAATATCCAAGAGAATCAAAACATGGATCATCCATTTAATTGAATAACATCGAGAAAACGAAATTAATAGTACCAGACACTGGAAACAACAGTAGGATTTATCCACAAAAAAAACACTGCGATAATCAAGAAAATGATGGGGAAGGAAACGAGAAATAGTAATGAGATTAATAAGTAGAAGTGAAGAAGAACTCACCAAGAAAGAAGTTTAAGCAGTAGCAGATTCTCAGAAACTATGAGGAAAAAAAAAACGGTTTCAAATATCGAGGCAAATATTGCTAATATGCTGCCACGACATTTCCAGCGGGTCCCACATAGTAAAACCAGTAATAGAGATACTTCAATCCTGACCGTTAGATCTACCAGCATATAATGTTTTTTACCGTTGACGACTTGACGTGTGTGATAAGATATGGCCCACCAACTCATGTTGCACTCAGGATGTCCTCCAGCTTAGTTCACGTGGTCTTTCGACTTTCTAACCGTATTTATACGATTTTGTTTAATTAAAATTAAAGAATTAAAATTTCTATGAATTTTAGTTATTCAAGACTGTGTTATCGGATTAGATTTTTTCAGTTTATTGATTTCTTTTTATTTTCATTTAAGTGTTAGTGATTCAACCTTACTGCAGTTTGTTGGTAAAATCATTTGAATGAAATTTCATAGAATTTTTATTAAAACAAAAGAAAGATAACAATGGTTTAATAACTGTGAGAACGACTACATCTTACTAATAACATTGTATTTTAACTATTTTTATAGATCGTTTTGAAATACTTTTTCTATGTTTTTAATTGCTTTTAAGTACTTTTATTACGTTTTTTTAGTATTTGTAGTTCCAATACTCTTTTCATATAACTTAGGGAAAAGCTTAACAAAATGGATAGAAAACCAGATTTCAGCTCAGAATCAAACCGTCAGAAGTTCACCCCTGATTGAAGGTCTTCTCACCGTCTGATCCAGCTCAAATTTGGAGATCTTAAAGATGGAAGTATCAGTTTTCCAGCACACTTTACAGTTTGGCAATCCAACGGTTCAATCAAAAGATACGCGAAGAGCAAGATGTCCCGTAAACCAGCCGGCAATCATTTTCACCTGCGGCCAACAAGCAATTTCCCGCGGTCAGAAGCACCGCGACCGCGGCCAGCCATCCATTTCCCGTGGTCACAGCCATCCCAACCGCGGCCAGCCAACTCCGAGCCCGAAGGCCCATTTCTGAAGCCCACAATGATTCCCTCATTTGGAGAAACCCTAAGTGACGCCCAGAGATGTCTTGAATACTATAAATACATGTTTTAGGAACCCTAATCGATCATCATCTATCATTACTTCATATTTTTCTTATTGTTTTTGCTTTAGCTTTTAGGGAGAGAGAGATTTGTCTCTTGAACCCTTGTTCTTTCTTTTTCAATTTCGGTTTCTATTCTACTTATTAATACTATGTTTTTGATTTCGTTCATTATGTCTGAGTAGTTTTATTGTTGGGATTAAGGGATTTTTGATGGGGATTTATATGTTCGATGAAGATTCCATGAGCTTTTGAGCCGAATCTTAGAACTTTTTCTTCTGAATTCGTTTTTACTGCATGAGAGTAGCGTCATGAACTACAATCTGATCCAGATGTTGGTGACACGAAATTGTTCATCCGGTGTTAGATCTAGTTTGGGAGAGCAAAACAAACATAGGAGTGGAAACCTACCTATAGGCGATTTGTGAATGCTGACGAGTCTTAAACATAATGCATCTCTTCTTTTCCAGGGCTAGAGTGGAAACCTACTGGTCAGGGTTGAGAGAGATAGTTGTCTATGATCACGACAGTGACGTATTCATACGTCCGTGACTCCAGTTCGAAAAGTTTAAGCTAAGATCTTATCAATTTTACTCTCTAGCAATGTTTTGAATCGTCCGTACCCCTGAGAAAACTTCCCTGAAGCCCAACGCTTTCTTCCTTTTAGATTCACACCGTTTTTATTTCAAGCTTTAGTTCAATATTCTCATTCCTTTTTAGTTAATTTTCATTTAAGCAATTAGAATATCTGTTTTTCTCGTTTTTATTCATTTTTATTAAGTTTAGTTATTAGGCCATTTAATTCCCGTAGTTTCTTTTTAGATTTCGTTTTTACATTTTAAACACACCACCAAAACCTCCACAAAACCGTTTGTTTCTAGACTTCCTTACTTTATATTTCTTTCAAAGGCTTTTGCAGGAAAAGATCATCCTTCCCTGTGGATTCGATCCGTAAGTACTACAATCGATCAGATGTGCACTTGACAAACCCTCGACACACCGACACACCGACACCACATCAAGTTTTTGGCGTCGTTGCTGGGGAAGGCATGCGTTTTCTTTTCCGCAAAACCCCAAAAAAGGTTGTTAAATCGACTCTAGAACCCCCTTTTATGCATATTTCCATTTTTCGGTTATTTTGTTTCCATTTCAGAAGATATGGATCATATAAATCGAAATATATACTATGAGGAAGATTTCTATAACACTCCTCAAGCCACCTGACGCAGAGAAGAACACCAAACCCGAAATCTTAGCTACATGGATCGATACAGCCAGCCAAACCACCCTTACCACCGGCGCAGATAGACTGTTCGACGCCGGGAAGATCCCTATGGTCCTCCTCCGACCTACTTCGAGCCACACGCCTATAATCCTCCACTGCAGAACCCTAGTCAGCAACTGCAAGAGGACAACTTGAGGATCACCAGACGTTTGGGACGCCTCGAAGGAATGATAAACTAGTTCCTTGATCAGCAGATTCTCACCGAAAATAAACTGCTCAGGAAAATTGTTTCAATCTCTGAAGAATTCTACAGAAAATTTGATGATATGGCCAATCATGTTCGAGTTCTGGAAGAGCAAACCCACAAGGACGCACAAACACTAACTGGGATGATCCACCAAGTCGCAACAGAGCAGACAAGACAAGGGTATGACATCATACAGAACTCAAGTGATATTGTCGAATCAAAACAGGAGATTAAAGAAGTCAGAGAATCCGCCTCTTGGTATAGAAAGAAGACAGACGAAGAGTTGCAAGAGATCGAGCACAGGCTGAACAAACTTGAGCTCAAAGCACGGGAGATTGATGCAAGAATGGAACAGATGCCCAACATTGAGCAAATTGAGAGATTTTCTAAGAAATCTCCCAAAGATCCTGATGAAGATGCACAACAACGCCCTGGTATGAGTTCATATGATGCTGGTTTACCCAATAAAGAAGCTGGAGAGGTTCGTATCAAGTATAAAAAGGAAGAGACGGACTATGAGCAAATCACATCCGGAGCCGCGGGTCCAAGTGTTCCGACCGCGGCCAAAGCCCTGTTTCCCGCGATCGCGACTCCTCTAACCGCGGGAATTGGTCGTTCAGATGCTCCTCCGGGTTTTGAGAGCAAAATAATACATTTCCTGTCCCAACTTCAGCCTCCAGCACAAAAAAAGCAACTCAGGAAGAAGAAAACCAAGTTATAGATGAAGAAACAGATTGGCAGGAATCATTACCTTGTATGATGGCAAAGGAATGTGTTGAAGATTCAGCTGACTCTTCAATCCAAGAAGACCAGACATGCAACGAGATAAAGATGCCATACATCGATTCAATCATTGAATATGACGTTGCAGCTTTCTTTTGTGAATCTTATTCTGCGTTCGAGACACCAGCCAACACCTACAGAGAAAGGCAAGTTCGAATTCTCCATAAGGTCAAGACTACATGTCAGTTTCTTATCTCTTGTTCTATTAGAGGAGAAATTTTTAAAAACGTGCTATGTGATTCTGGAGCTTGTCTTAACATGATGTCCAAGGCAATTGCTTTGAGACTTGGTATCAAACACTTGCGCATGACTAGAGCAAAGATTAATCTAGCTGATGATTCCAATGCAACACCTCAAGGAATAGCTCATGAAATTTTTTGAGAATAGGAGATTGCATAGTGCCTGTCGACTTCTACATTGTCGAGACGAGAGATGCAACATATCCAGTAATTCTCGGATGGTCTTTTCTAGCAACTTCCGGAGCTATAATAGACTGGCCAAACCGGAGGATTTCATTTGCTAATATCGACAAAGATGTCTTCACAGAAGCTGTCCCATACAACAGCAAAGCAGGAAAACGTTCTGCAACAGAAGAGTTTGAAGAAGAACTTTGGAGTGACAAAGAACCTGCTAGGCAAAGCAAGGAGATGTCGAAAAAGACTTGTCTCAGGACAAGGTCTTCTTCATCGGACTAAGCCACGTCCAACACCAAAAGTCGAGCTAAACGACTTAAAACAGAAGCGCTTAATGGGAGGCAACCCATTTAGGTATTATTTTCTTTAGGATTTTTCTTTCTTTTTCTTTTGATCTTTTTCTTTTTCTCAGTTTCAGGTGTTTCTTAATAAAACAAAAAACCAAAAAAATAAAAAAAACCCGAAAAAACCAAAAAGAAGGATGGTCCTTGACTGCTCGGCCCAGCAGGGACCAAGGAGAAGCAGGAAGAGGCAGCAAAATAAGCCCCCGCGGTCGCATGTGTTCTGACCGGGGGAAACACATGATCGACCGCGGTCGCGTGATTTTGACCGCGGCCAAGCACCTATTTGCCGCGGTCGCGTGACTCCTGACCGCGGCAATTTGTCGTTGAGATCAAACCCAACCCCAAACCACCCAATTCACCTCATTCCACCTCACCAATCCCCACTCCACCTCATTCATCACTTCCCACCACCTTCATCACCACCCATCACCTTCCCAAACCTCTTCAAATGAATCCGGTTCATCTCCACCAGCATCCCGGATCCAGGTAAGTTCTCTTTGGCCTTACCAATTCGATTATCTATGCATTTTTCTCATCCGATCTCGACTAGTTTCACACTGAGGACAGTGTGATTTAAGTCTGGGGGAGGATTTCATCCCTTTCTAACCACTTTTCTTTCATGAGTCTTGCATTATCTACACATTTTGCATTTTTCTTAAAGTTTTTTAAAATCAGTTTTCAAAACAAAATACGTTTTAAAGGGAATGGTGAACATGAATCAATGATAGTTGACTGTGTGCTTTAGACTGTTCCTAGTGACATGTTCATTCACGATTTAGGACTAGACTAGGCGGTAGCTAAGCACATTTGAAACGAAGTACCCCAGAGGAATTGGAATGATTTCGATTTGGATGAAGGGATACACTAGCTCTGTTTTATTTGGACTTTATTTGGACTTAATTTCTCATTGAAGCATTAAGCCAGGAAAACGAATCATACATTCAGGACTCCTTTATCCTTTTACCACTCTCAGTTGATCCTGAATGGCTAGTTCATCTTTAGCTAGTTCCCCATCTTAACCAATCCTCTTTCAAACCACATGCACTCTTGTTGTTTATTGTCTTATATGCAGGTAAGTGCAACAACGTTCGAGAGAAAGAGGAACGACGCAGTTTTCAGTCACCAAGGACAGAGACCTGCGATTTGCCGGAAAAGTTCCCGGAATGATTCAACACAAGAGGAAGCTCAGTTTGCCTTAGAAAAATCTTAAATTTTGGTACAATCTCATCTTCTAGACTCTCTCTCTCTTTAAAAGACATTTCCTTTTCAAAAAAAAAAAAAAAAAAAATCTGATAATAAGAAAAGAAAGGAAAGAAAAGCCTTAGAGAGTCTAGAGAGGTCGAATTTTAAGTCCCAAGGCAACTGGAGTTCGATTTTATGGAGTTTTGGAGATTGTTTTCTGATTCTCGGAAAGAATCTAAGTCTGGGGGAACAGCTGTTTACAACAAAGGAGGAATGATTATGCAACAACATTTGGCAAGAAGAAGTGACTGAAAATTGCGGTCCTCAACATATCCTTATCTCTCTTGCGGTTTTGCATATTATCTTGCATCCTCCATATCTTCAGGTAACCCGAAACACTTTAACTCCACCACTTAAACAACCCTTTAATGCCAAACGCCGTCTACCCTGGATGATGTCTTTAATGAGAACTCACTATTGAAATTAATGAATGTAGAGAGCTAGTTGACTAGAATCAAGATTTAGATTGTTTAAGTTTTGCATGACGGAAAAAGTGGACTAGTATCTTTTGTGCATTGGTGAGAATTTTCTAGACTAAGTTGTGGATTGATGCACTATCTTTGGTCCTAGTTTTGGAGTTCATGTCTATGAGATTTGTGCATTCCCTATTTTTGTTTTCACTTAACCAGTTTAGGCTTTTGCTTTGTTTGAGGACAAACAAAGGTTTAAGTCTGGGGGAGTTGGTGACACCGTATTTTGACCACTTTTATGGATCGTTTTGAAATACTTTTTCTATGCTTTTAATTGCTTTTAAGTACTTTTATTACGTTTTTCTAGTATTTGTAGTTCCAAGACTCTTTTCAGGTAACTTAGGGAAAAGCTTAACAAAATGGACAGAAAACCAGATTTCAGCTCAGAGTCAAACCGTCAGAAGTTCACCCCTGATTGAAGGCCTTCTCACCGTCTGATCCAGCTCAAATTTGGGGATCTTAAAGATGGAAGTATCAGCTTTCCAGCACACTTTACAGCTTGGCAATCCAACGGCCAACAAGCAATTTCCCGCGGTCAGAAGCACCGCGACCGCGGCCAGCCATCCATTTCCCGCGGTCACAGCCATCCCGACCGCGGCCAGCCAACTCCGAGCCCGAAGACCCATTTCTGAAGCCCACAATGATTCACTCATTTGGAGAAACCCTAAGTGACGTCCAGAGATGTCTTGAGTACTATAAATACATGTTTTAAGAACCCTAATCGATCATCATCTATCATATATCTTTCTTATTGTTTTAGAATACTTTTAAGCTTTAGTTTTTTGGGAGAGAGATATTTGTTCTCTTGAACCCTTGTTCTTTCTTTTTCAATTTCGGTTTCTATTCTACTTCTTAATATTATGTCTTTGATTTCGTTCATTATGTCTGAGTAGTTTTATTGTTGGGATTAAGGGATTTTCGATGGGAATTTATATGTTCGATGAGGATTCCATGAGCTTTTGAGCCGAATCATAGAACTTTTTCTTCTGAATTCGTTTTTACTGCATGAGGGTAGCGTCATGAACTACAATCTGATCCAGATGCTTGGTGACGCGAAAGTGTTCATCCGGTATCAGATCTAGTTTAGGAGAGCAAAACAAACATAGGAGTGGAAACCTACCTATGGGCGATTTGTGAATTAGGACGAGTCTTAAACATAATGCATCTCTTCTCTTCCAGGGCCAAAGTGGAAACCTATTGGTCAGGGTTGAGAGAGATAGTTGTCTATGATCACGACAGTGGCGTATTCATACGTCCGTGACTCCAGTTTGAAAAGTTTAAGCTAAGATCTTACAAAATTTCCTCTCTAGCAATGTTTTGAATCGTTCGTACCCCTGAGAAAACTTCCCTGAAGCCCAACGCCTTTTTCTCCATTGATTTCCTGCGATTTTCTTTCAAGCTTTAGTTCAATATTGTCTTTCCTTTTTAGTTCATTTTCATTTAAGCATTAGAATATCCGTTTTTATCATTTTTAGTCATTTTCGTTAAGTTTAGTTATTACGTCATTTAATTTTCGTATTCTCTTTTAATATTTCGTTTTTAGATTTTAAAGACACTACCAAACCCCCATCAAACCGTTTAGTTCTAGACTTCCTTACTTTAACTTATTTTCAAAGGCTTTTTGCAGCAAAAGATCCTCCTTCCCTGTGGATTCGATCCCTAAGTACTACAATTAATCAGCTATGCACTTGCGGCTATCGATTTCAATTAGGGTAAAACTTGACACCCTCGACACACACATCAAGTCAACCATCAGAGTAGCGTCATGAACTACAATCTGATCCAGATGCTTGGTGACACGAAAGTGTTCATCCGGTGTCAGATCTAGTTTGGGAGAGCAAAACAAACATAGGAGTGGAAACCTACCTATGGGCGATTTGTGAATGCTGACGAGTCTTAAACATAATGCATCTCTTCTTTTCCAGGGCCAGAATGGAAACCTACTAGTCAGGGTTGAGAGAGATAGTTGTCTATGATCACGACAGTGGCGTATTCATACGTCCGTGACTCCAGTTCGAAAAGTTTAAGCTAAGATCTTATCAATTTTACTCTCTAGCAATGTTTTGAATCGTTCGTACCCCTGAGAAAACTTCCCTGAAGCCCAACGCTTTCTTCCTTTTAGATTCAAACTGTTTTTATTTCAAGCTTTAGTTCAATATTCTCATTCCTTTTTAGTTAATTTTCATTTAAGCAATTAGAATATCCGTTTTTCTCGTTTTTATTCATTTTCGTTAAGTTTAGTTATTAGGCCATTTAATTCTCGTAGTTTCTTTTTAGATTTCGTTTTTACATTTTAAACACACCACCAAAACCCCCACAAAACCGTTTGGTTCTAGACTTCCTTACTTTATATTTTTTTCAAATGCTTTTGCAGGAAAAGATCCTCCTTCCCTGTGGATTCGATCCCTAAGTACTACAATCGATCAACTGTGCACTTGTGGCTATTGATTTCATTTAGGGTAAAACTTGACAAACCCTCGACACACCGACACCACATCACTTACTGTCTCATAAAAATCTTGAGGTTTTAGAGACGATTACAGGGGATTCAATATTGTTCTTTTTTATAAATCCTGTCGACCCCGATAAAAACGCACCAAAGTATTATAGTGTGGACTTTTCTCTGATTCAACGGTTCAACAGACACTATGAGTTTCAAGCGAACCCGAGTCAACGGGCCATGAGATCCATGAGATCCAAATGGGCCACCACACTACATGTCTCGAGTTTGAAATGTTTTCCAACTAATGCTAGGGAGTAGCCAAATCGCCTGTTACTAGACTACCATGTAAACTGTTTGGGCCTTTGGCTCAAACCCAGACTTCCTACATAATTATGTTTTTGTTTCCAGGAAGGATCGAACCTGGGTGAAGTGGTGTAACACCCCACATAACCCTTTCTACCACTGGACCACAACGATGCGGGCGGATTCAGAATTGTTCTTGATGGATTTTTCTGCTTCTGTAATTGTTGATGTGTATGTTGGAGGCGATCAGGCGAATCACTTGGTAAGTCGCTGCTAGATGCACACCAAGTGATGCCGAAAAAACTGGACAAACTGTCTCCATCACCTGCAGTTGTTTATCAGATTCTGGTTTGGTTTGCAATAATATGGTCACGGCCAAAAAAGGTAGATCTTATTCTGATGGAAGACCATTTTGTCGAGTGGCACTGTTGAAGACATAAGGCTAAGAAACAGCAGCAAATTTCAAGTCTTATGACGGTGCGTTTCCTGCGTGTTCATTTTGAAACGACCACATGTTGATTTATGCAGTCTTCTATATTCAAACAGAATGGGGCCGTGATGATGTTGTATTTGTTGCTCCATCGATTTCACAAAACCTGCTAAATTGTGTTACACCCGAAGATGTGATGTTTGGATTACTCTCTACAGGTTGTGCTAAACAAAATTCCGCAATCTCACAGGTTACAGCATTGCAACATCGCAGCCACAAACTTTTTCAAGGTTACAATGTTCTTGCTTTGTTCCAATACGTGATCTATCTCGGCAACACTTTTATCAACACAATTACATGTTCAGTGGATATATCTCATCACCTAAGTAAGAGGCATTTCATCCTTGTCCTATCTCGGTTAATCTTGGTTTCCTTAATTTCTGGTTTATGTCTTAAACTTGTAATTCCGATTATTGTGTTAACCGAGGAAACTTGTTACGTTTATATGTAAGCCCCTTTGGCCATGGCTGAACATTCAATCAAATATCAAAACCATCTTCTTCCTATAAACTCTGTCATCATCTTCAATCCACCATTGAATCTCTATCCTCCAAGAAGACCCTTCTTCCTCCGTGGTCTTCTTCTAGGCTTGTGAGTTCTGGATCGTATCTATCAGTTACTCATGTTTTACTGTCTCAGGAATCAAATCCTTATATTTATCAGTCAGGATTTTATTAGGGTATGGTGAGATTTCCTTACGTCATGTCAAAGCAAGAAGAAGAAACCCCTGTGAATTTTATGGTAATTGGATTTTTGTTGTGGATGAACCACGCACTATTGGCCTTTATCGATGATATGATATCGTGTTTTACAACTGTCATGAGCCGATGGATTCTCCCCAAAGGCAGCCAATGGAAGAATCAGAAGCAGATGCACATTCACAACCAACAACTTACGGCTACCATTCACCGCAACCGCTCTATGAAGTATATGCACCACCAACAACTTACGGCTCACCGCAGCTGCTGGAGGAATCTGAAGCTACTCTCCTTTCCCCTTACAGCTCACCGCACCCGCTGGAGGAATCTGATTCAGATTCCAGCCCTTTTCCACGCTTCTATGAGTATGAATTAGACTTGTATGACTTCGATGTACCATGACCACGACCCTGTTATGCTACACCTCCGTGGATCTATTCATATTCACCGGAGTTCTCTGAACCAAAACCGCAGATGCCACCTGTTTCATCAATAAATTATGGCGTTTATACAACTTATGGTGTTTATGAAGCGGAATTCCTCAAAAATCCAGAGGAATCTCTCATAGTACTAATACCTGGCCACCCTTACTGCGAAGAGGAATATCATAAGTTGGTAATTTTTATATTTGACTCTGTCCAAGTCAGATTTTGTGGGATTTTTGATTTTGAGTCTCTCTCCCTCTCTTAATCAGATCCTGTGTGGTCGAATTGAACTTCATTCCTACAATTTGCACGAGGTAAATTCCTTCCTAAGTTTTTTTTTTAATTTATAGCTTCCAAGTTTGTTCTTGCTTTGCTTAATTTTTGGTCTTTGTAGGGGACAAACTTCCATCTTTTGGGTGTACACGGCATCCTTTCTATCGGAACATTCTCTACAGAGACATTATTAGAGGCACATGATCCATTACGCGATTCCACTACCAAGTTCACAATGTCTGCTACTCTTGCTAGTCGTGTCTCTGACGTTGACAGAGATTTCTTGAAATTAAATGTAACGTGCTGGGTGTCAATACCAGGTCAAATGCAAATGGGTAATGCACCTTTTGTTACTTAAATGTAACTCTCTCTGTCTCTGTCTCGATATAACACTGCAATATTATTTTCCTTGTTTAAACCCAACCCTGTAGAGGAGAAACCACATAGCTCCGAACTACTTGCTGTGGATGAACACTTCAAAGGTGACATGCCCAATTGGCTGCCTGAGGATTTCCTAACGGGCAGTGATAAGCAATACCACGAGATGGAAGAATCAGAGGTGCAAGAAGAAAAGGAATGGCTTCTTCTCTACGCTCAACTCGCATTCTTTGCCGTGATGGGAAGTTCTTATTTTTTAAAAGTGAGAAGAAAAAAAAACAAGAGACTTGGACTTGAAAGAGAGGGGAATTCATGTAGGTTAATGATGATCTCTTTGTTGGTGTTGTATTGCTTGTAGGACAAACCAACGCCACTTGAGCTGGTAAAGATAATTGTGCAAACCAGACAAGATGTGGAGTCGAAGAAGAAGGCGAAGGCGAGGAATGCAATCTTCTACATTAGCTTCAAAAACAGTGGCGGTCAAGACCACAATGCTATCATAAGGATGACAATAGCTGAAACGCCACATCCTATGTCACTTGAAGTCATATGTCGCTTGAAGTCGAGTGTCTGATGTGAAAGCCAACCATTGTATCTTATTATCTCGTCCTATTATTATGTATTATTAATTAATTATCATATCGAACTAGATCTTTTGGTCGAATTTGCTTAATGCTTGGCTTGATTTCTAATCATGCAATGGATAAATTACTTTTAACTAGATGAATACTTGCGTATATATGTGGGTTTTTTAATCATATAAACTAGTGATCTTCTTAACCATGCAAAAATCTATTGATTATCCACTATACATATATAATAAAAAATTAAAAAAAAAATATGTGTTTTGTTTTTAAATATTAAGCTGTTCTAAAAATCTATACTTTAATCCCTGCGTACAGATCTATTTTTGACTATACTATGTTGTAATTCACCTCTCTCAACTTCTATGAAAACTTTCTAGCTCTCTCTTAATCACAATCATATAGTTTCTTTGTTTCGCATCGTTAGAAACATCGTTAGAAAGTCACTTTGAAACTTTTTTGCTATTTTGGATTTGTATTTATCTCAAAACCATAATTAGACAATAATAATTGTCAATGAAATCACCATAATACAATTCTAATCCAATTTCTCTAACAAAACATACACACATACATACTCAAATAAACTCTTTAAGCGACAACATTTAACTACTCACTCCTTCCTCTGTTCCACTTAATTAGCTTTGGTGCCAAAATTCCAAAATATTTGGTTTTTTTAACACTGTATTAGCATGTTATGAGAATTTAGATGGAAAATGACTAATACAAAAACAAGCCAATACAAAATCAGATGACTATTTGGAGAAAAGTCATGATAAGCATATAGACTCTCATTGGCGCGGTCTCCTTACAAAAGGCAATTGTATAGTGGCTGCTTAGCCTTCGCATGGATCAAATTTTGATGTCCACTGAAACAAGGAAATTTAAAGGTCATCTCTGATTCTCTATTGAGTTTGTAATTGACATTGTATTTTATAGTCACTTCGACCTGCTTTCCTTACTTAGCTTCCACAAACAGATCTACCTTTCTCAACTCTTCTTCTTTGCAATGGCGATGGTCCATTCCTTCTCTGATAAGTCTTGGCCTCTGATTCTGATTTCCTGACACTTGTTCTCTTTCCTCTTATTTATGTGATGTCTCTGCTTTCTCTCTTTTTCTTTGTCATAAATCTCTTCCACTCTCTCTTTCTCTCTCTCCTTTCTTTCTTTTCTTCCTCCTCAAGGCTTCTCCTCTATTCTCTCTTCTTCTTCCTTTCACGACTCCTTCTCATTGATCTTTTTATTTTCTCTCTCTCTCTCTCGGCCTCTTACGTCTGCTCTCCTTCTTTTCTCTTCATTTTTTTGGTTCAGTAATCTAACTTAGATAACTAACTTGTATATAAGGAGAGATACATTAGTTGTAAATATTTTCTTTACTTATAATGATTGATGAACAAGAAACTTTGAGTTGTAAACTACTAGAAGTGATGTTACTTTATAATAAAACCAAGACAATATAATTTTTAAGACTCATTACTCGCAATACGACAATAGGAAAGTTTGTTTGATTTGGAGGCCTTAAAAATCAATAGTTAGATTGTTCGTTACAAACATTTGACTCAATTTGCAGTAAAAATATCAATAATCTGAAGGAAAAAAAATTAAGCTAAGCTTCAGCTAGTAAATAAAGTTTAGGCTGATGTAAAGCTCTCCAAGGAATTTCATCTAACAAAATAATAGATGTCACTTGAAATCATACCTTGTTCATCTTGTTACACTGATAGTCGAGCTCAATGGAAATAATCTGAAATATCTCTGCTCAGACCCGATCCTTTTTTATTTTTTGTCAACTTTCACTTCAGACGGTTCAAATTCAAGTTATAATATGGCTATTACATCCCATGAATTCGTCGAACGAACGACCAGATATCTTGCATGTCGAAAATCAGGACAATCCAAGGACAGATGAAGACTAAGAGTATCTGATGAAATACTATGAGATGTGAGGAGAGAACAAATTCAAATGTTTAGAAATTTGGTTGTAACGAACAAATCATTAATAACAAAGAAAAGCTTTGAAATTTTCGTTGTAAATTAAATTCATGTTGAGCTATTTTATTTTGAGTAAAGAAAACGAAGAAGCTGGCGACGTATCTGATTCTTCAAAAAAAAAAAAAAATCTATAACTGATGTGTTATAAAGAGAGAGCTGATATGTCTAGTTTTTTTAAGACTCACTGAATCTTTTTATATAGAAAGAATTAAAAATATAGGACAAATAAACATAATTATTGTCCCCTTACTATTTATGTAGTAAATTTTGTCCCCTTAATACTTCTACTAATAATTTAACCTCTTCTACCCTTCTAATTCAAATTTACCCATATTAATTAAAATTTATTTATACGAAGTTTACCGTTAAGAGACTAAGATCTACTTTGGAGTTTCGGCTACCCTAATCCTTTTCCATTTTTAGTAAGCTTCTCCAAACTTCAAACTTTTCTGGTGATCTCCTCGCCGGGTTCCGCCCCCGACCGCCGTCGGAGGGCCCTGCAAACCACCGGTAAGGCCTCTACCTCTCCGAGCACCCGTCAGTGCTCTCTGTTTTCTCTGGTTTTTTCGTCCCCATCTTCCTACATCGGCAAAGCTTGAACCCAAATAAGGTTCACTAATGGGAGATGGATTGAAAAGGATCGTGTTCTTGTGAGCTATTCTCAAAGTGTTACTTTTAGCAATCTCACCTGGTCTGTAGAGGTGAAGAACCGTTTTTTTCTCGCTCATCCTTGGAACCTAAAGAAGCTGCACTGGTCTGTGACTGAATCCGGCTTTATGGCATCCAGACTACCACACCAAGATAAAGGCAAGGCGATAGCCTCAAGCTCTTACAGATCCAAATCCTACGGCAAAGAGGTCCCAAGAGGCACTGATAAACCCGTCCAACGAGTATCAAGGATTAGAGTTCAAACGCCTAAAAATGCAGATCTGATTCAGCGTCACTCCCTCACTCTGATCGGAAGAGTCACAAACGCGGAAAAGCAAAGATTGTGGTCTCTTATTCCTTTCCTGTCAGACCTATGGAAAAATGTTCTAAAAACCTCAACGCGAGCCTTTGGGTCGGATCTGGGACAAGGACTATTTCAGTTCCAGTTCGAAAACGAAGAAGACCTCCAAATTGTCCTGGACAATCGACCATACCACTTTGCCCAATGGATGGTTATCATCCAAAGATGGGAGCCCACTCTATCACCATCGTTCCCATCGAAGATTCCTTTCTGGATCAAGGTACAAGGGCTACCCGTTCACCTGTGGACGCAGGAGATAATTCAAGGAATAGGAGAAGATATTGGTCTCCTGGAAAAGCTGGATATTACGGCAACTGTAGCCAGAATGAGGGTCCAGATCGACGGAACGCAACCACTCATAATGAAATCCCATGTAGAATTCCCCGATGGAGAAGAGATAGTGGCTTCGCCTGTTTATGAAAAAATTGGAAAATTCTGTTCAAATTGCCTATACCTGACGCACGAAGCAGAGACATGCCCTTTACTTGCCAGGCCTACTGAGTCTCCCCTCCACCAAAAAAGAACGACCTCTCAGGGCTCGGACATGAAAGAACCTGCGACTGGAGTTATGGACAGAGACCGACATTATCATCTGCAATCAAAGCAGACAGAACAGTATAAGAGGTATGGCCCTCAGAGGAGTAGAGAATATACCGATAAGCGATCTGATGAAAGGGTCTCGTCAAGCTTTCGGTATGATGCTCATTTCCAACAAAAAGAATACCTTGAAAGAAGTCATACCTCTCGTGGTTCCTACCATCAAAGCAAGGAACGAAGAGAAGATTCAAGATCCTATGGCTCCCATCACCGCCGAGAGACATCCTACACTTCTAATCTGCGACACACCAATGGAAAAACTGGCTTTGATAACCAGAGGAGGAGCTCGACCCAACAAGTTTGGAAAGAAAAACGTAGAGAGGACCTGATCCCTACCTCTCCAGTAAGACCAATGGAAGAACTGTCGGGAACGTCAAGAAGTCTCAGACACAGCAACAATCTAGTGGACATTCCGATAGCCCCAGTGAACGACCTACCCCAAAATGCAATGGAAGAAGCAATTGGAGAACTGCGGGAAGTAATGGTTCGTTACGCAGACTGTGATGATCCAACTGAACGAGAAGCTAGGAAAGAAAGAATCCGGTTGGCAGAAGTTGCGGGTGAATTTGAAGAGGCCGCAGCCAACATGGTTATGTCTTCCCTAGGAACCCAAAACCAGAATAATGATACTGATAATCAATCACGGGAAGAACATGAAAGAATTCCAGTCAGCCTCAGATTAGGACCTATTAACGAAGATATGGGAGACGCGGTTAACAAAACTGGAAAAGAACCGGGCCCGAAAAAACGTGGGAGACCTCCGGGACAAAAGAAAACCCACTTCAGCCCCTCAATCTTGAAGGGTGCAAATTCTAAACGACGTAAGGTCATGCTAATCCAAAACTCCCCAAGGCGGAGATCTCAAACAAATGCTATCCCTCGTTTTGAGGAGAATGGTACAACTACGTATCACAGAGGAAGTTCAAGCAGAAGCGTACCTCAAGGACGTCTTTCACCAGGGGCTGTGCAGCCACCGAGACCGAATATCATACCAAGGAGCTCCAAAGGTAGGGTGGATTTTCCCAATCCATCCAGCCCCGTTCCTTAAGGATGATTAGCTGGAACTGTCAAGGGCTGGGGAATCCCTGGACAGTTCACAGACTAAAGGGAATCAAAAAGAAATTTGATTTCCCAGAAATTCTATTCCTCATGGAGACCAAAAACGCTGATCATTTTGTTCTCACAGAGCTCAAAATTCTGGAATATAACCACCACTTCACAGTGCCACCATCTTCTCCTCGGTGCGGAGGTCTGATCCTATGCTGGAAAGATGACATAGATCTCTCAGTAAGACATGGATGCGAAAATTTCATAGACACAGAAATTCGATATAAAGGAAAGCTCTTCTATGCAACCTTTGTGTACGGCCATCCTGAGAGAAAGAAGAGACAT